AAGGACAGACCTTAGGAATGGAACTCATTCTTAAACTGGGGGCTAACTGTAGTCCAAAGAAAACATATTGATTCAAGAATGGAATTTATATACTTTCAGTTGTTTCAAATTACTGTATTTGATCCTTAGAAATAGCCCCTGGAGCACAGAGCAGAGATATTTCAAGTACAACCATTCATGTTTTTGCCCTATAAATGCACAGAAAGCAGTTAACGTACAGGAATGTCAGTTTCTTGCAGTCAAGATGAATTCTTTGCTCTATAGCCCAAAGAATCCCCAGACCTTCAGGATTAGCTCTTCAGAGAGTAAAGGGGCCCACATAAAGGAGAAGATGGGAACCATCTCAAAGCACACATAAAATATGGTTTACTGGTGGCCTATATGGTAGGAGTATCTAAATCAGTACAATTCATTGTAGAAAAGACTACAAAACAATTGGGAACTAAAACAGAAAGAAATGCCTGTTAAAGAGATGGTGTCTTTTATTAGTTGTAGAATCAAGTAGAATGAATTAATATTATTTTCATTGTTTGGTAAAATCAATGTTGGTGAAGTGTCAGGGTGGAAGATGAAAATCATTAACTTCAATACTAGATTAGGCCTGCATAGCTTTTTCTTCTGAGCAGCATCAAAAGAGCCCTGAGCAGCCCCACTGAGGCTGAGCAGCTAAGGCTGCTTTGCATCTTTGACAAGTGGATCTGGAGGGATGTTTGGCAAACTTCTTCCCTTTACTGGCTATCCCAGTGGAGGTGCTGCAGCAATTAACTGAAGCCGTTTTTCCCGCTAATAGCCCATCAGCTGTGATCCTGGCTAGGAATTAGAAATTGGTTTAAATGGCATATACAGTAGATTTGCTCAATATCGATGTACCAGACCAGGGAAAACAAACTCTGACTTGATTTCAAAGGACTGCAACCCCCTTCCCTCCATAATCATGCGGGTGCTCAATTTAAAAATAATAACAGCTATAATTATTATTTACCCAACACACATACACACACAAGGATGCAAATGAAAAGAACCTGTTCACCAAAGAAAATAAAAGTTCTACTTCCCACCTAGGTAACTGCTACCATCTTACAAGAAAGAAGAAACACAGAGACAGTGGCACATTCTAAACATGCAAGTTAGTAGAAAGCATTATTAAATGAAAGGGTATACTAAATAAAATATAAACATTATCTTAAGCTGGATACATTATTGTCTGGCTTGCACATTTTTATGATCCACTGTGGCCATCCAATATGATCTAGTAAAGCTGCAACCTAGCAGATAGAGGGCACAAGCAAAACATGAGCCTTTACCACAAAAACATGAAGGCACTGATCACGAGATCTGGGTACTTTAACCATCAAATGTGGGTTGCCAGCCGCCAAGGACAAAGAAACCAAAACTTTTAGAGATCCCTCAAGCAAAACCAAAACGCCCCATGATAAAATAGACATAATACAGGCACAAAGAAAGGCCATAACCTTTAATATGAGAGCAAATGGAAACTACAAAGGAAAAGAGGAACAAAGGCATAGGTTCACCTAACAAAAATGACAGAACATTAAGCTGAAAAAAGGAGCCAAATACAAAGCAAGATCAAAGAATTGTACCAATTTGATCTGCACCAGGAAATCAGTCTCTCCTTATGAATTTACATCTGCCCAAATTCAAGCCAAGCAAATGAACAGTCATAGAAAGGAGATCATAAATCAGGCCCCTATGATCAAAGATTTCTAACAGTGTCTTCTGTTCATTCATAAATATGGCCAGAAGATGCTGGAAAAGTCACCAAGAAGCTATACTAAGTCTGCTTTGCACCTTTGACATGCAGCAACAAGAAATACAGGAAACATTAGATGGAACATATATATTTGGGATAGCTAACATTGGTTCTAGATGGAGTTGCATCCATAGCTCTTGCTTGAGGAGCAAATGGCAACAGTGACTAGGAGGGCCTTTGCACAATTCCATCAAGAGCACCTGTTTTATCCATTTCTGGATTAGGAGGCCTTGCTCACCATCACTCAGGCATTGTCATCTCTCACTCTGATAACTGCAACGTGCTATACATTGGCCTAGAAGCTACTGCTAGTCTAGCAGTTCAAGTAGTTAAGGGCACCTCCCAGTTTGTCCAAGTAACATTATTATAAGAACTGTCAGTTGGCTTCCAGGTGCAATTCAAGGTGTTGGCTTATTTATTTGTTTGGCCATTGCAACTGACAGATTGTTGTCACCTTTAAACCCCTACGTGGCTCAGGAACTGGATATCTTTGAAACTGCCTTCTCCCAGAAGTCTGTGGCCATCCAATATGATCTAGTAAGTAAGTCCCAGAACCACCCAGAGTCGCCCTCTGGGGGAGATGGACAGCATATAAATTTAATAAATTAATAAATAAGTCCCTTCTTTGAAGGAGTGTTATTATCATGTACAAGGATGGGTCTTCTCCACTGCTGTCCTTCTCTTTTGGAATAGCACCCTGCCCAAGGTCATATAAACATTTATCTTGTTAACATTTTAAAAAGCTACTAAGACTTGACCATTTCAGAAAGTCTTCAGGAACTGATGGAATGATGGGTTCCCACCCTGATGTAGGTGACTATTTTTACTGAAAGTGAAATTCTTAAATGGGATTGATGTGGAGTTAATATTATTACTTGTTTTGTATTATGTTATTATCATTTATTCTTCTAATTTTTCTTGTCTACTACACTGGAGTGTATACTCCTTAGAGTAGTCTACAATTTAAGTAGCTTATAAACCTTAGGGAAACATAGTAATGAAATTTAAAACTACAGATAGTCCTCACTAACATCCATCCATTCAGCAACTTTCAAAGTTATGACAGCACTGAATGAAGGAACTTATGAACAGTCCTCAAAGTTCTGATTGTTGCAGCACCCCCGCAGTCATGTGAACAAAATTCAGGCCCACTCAGGTCCACCCGCATTTACAACCACCTTTTGGCCTGTCTACCCGTTGCTGCCAGTTCTTCCCGGCCGCCCAGCCCTGCCCATTGCCACTACCCCTGTGCACCACATGCCACAACTATACCAGCTGGGCCACCTTCTTTCACGCCAGTGCAGCTAGGGCCTCCATTCATGACCTGCTCAGGGTCTCCATTCATGCTAGAAGGGTCCTTCTTTCATGCTGGTGCAGCCCAAGCCTTCTTTCATGTGCCAGGTATCTTTAATGCACCAGCCAGATTCTTCATTTGCAAAAGAAGGCCTGGTTGGCACACAAATGGAGGCCCTGGGCGGTGCATGAGAAAACCCCAGCCGGTGCGCAAACAGAGGCCCCAGCTGCACCAGCACAAAAGAAGGCAACACAAAAAAAGGACATGGCCAGTACAATAGTGGTGTGTGATGCAGTGGGCACAGTGGCAGGCAGGGCTGGTGGGCAGCAGGGGCAGCTGGCGGCCGTGGGTAGGCTGGCAGCCAAAAGGACAGAGATGGGAGATAGGTGGATGGGAAGAGTTGAAGTGGAGGCAGTCCCTTATCTTTTTCCAAGAATGGCTTGGATCTGGGTGGATCCTCACCTGATGACTGCGTAGGATTCACTCACCGACAGTACCTGGGATTGCCGGAAGTGCTGTTGCTAAGCACATTGGTCACATGACATTTCACTTAACAAACGTGTCGCTTAGCAATGGAGTTGCCTGTCCCAATTAGGGTCATTAAGTGAGGACCACCTGTATTTCTATATGGCTGTTGCTGCTATTGTTAGATATTTTCATCACCCACTTAAGAAACTTAATGAATTAGCTCAGGTTTTCCCAATCCAGTGCTCTCCAGATACATACTACAAATTCTCCTAGTTATCATTGTGCCTCTGCAGAAAGGATTACAGGAGTTGGTCAAACACTCAGAAATCCATTTGAGGAACACTGAGTTAGACTATCTGAAATTTCAAGTTCTGGTTTGATTTTGAATCTAACATAACATTAACTACCTTTGACTATCATTACTTCAATATCAGTTCACATTTTCAGTGACAAGAACAGAACCAAAGCTTAGGATAGAAACAGCTGCATCTTCCTGAGTGCAAGACATATATATAAGACATTTCTTGTACATAGTTTCAGAATATGAGGAAATGTGATGGAATGTGAGGGTGACCTTGGAAGACAGGGGGACTGCTGCCTAGGGAACTATCAGATAACAGAGAAAGGAGCCCTCAACAGAGTAACAGCCAGAGAAAGAAACTTAGGAAGAATCCACCCTAACCACTCAGATGGTAAATAGGGAGGATGGGAGATTTGTACTTTTAGACTTGCAAGATTCTGTTAATGTAGCCTTACAATAAAGTAGAATTAGCTTATCTACTTGTGTTTTCTGTCTGGTTTACCTGGGAGGGCTGACAAGAAATTATTTACAAAATCTGCTGAAGAATAAGAAATTTGAGAAAAAGTAGAATACACACAATGTTTTGAATTATAAAACCATCTGAGACCAAAATTCAAACCACTATTTCAAGGAAAAAAAAGATCAAAAAGTGAGGACAAAAATCATTGCAGACTAATAACATATATATATATTTAAATAAATATACCCACATAAAGATAATGAAAGCTCTCCGCTTTGTACAAATCCTCTCCATATTTTAAAAATAGTCCATTTCTTCCATTCATAATACATCTCATCCCCAAGAAAATCTCCTTGCCTTTCTTCCTATAGTATTCATTCTGACAGCTCCTGGCAGAAAGCACTGTAAGATTTGGGGAGAGGGATCTGGGAAGAGGGATCATTGTAACGTATGGTTCATTACCCAATTTGATCAGCAGAAACTGAATAAAATTAAGCATTCAAAAAGAACAGCAATTATTCATCTAATTCACATATTTTATGAGGTCACAAATTTGAATTTCCTTAGCATATACCTGACAACAGAAAATGTTAATATTAATGCCACTTTTTTCCCACTCACAATATCCTGAAGATTTCCACAGGTTTCATAGAATGCTCAATAATTAAGAAGTTAAATATGACATAAGAGGTATTTTAAAACCTACCAGCATTAACTATGGCATCAATCTCAAGCACTGTGATATCACCTCTGTATAGAGAGACTTTCTCACTGAGACTTTTCTGCATCAGGAAAGCTTCATTGGTGTTGTCTTCTGTGAAGAAATAGAAAGAACTTAAGAAACAGTAGCCATCCCTTACACTGGAAAATGAAAGCCACAGTTTATAGCTGCCAACTCTCCTAACACTACAAGTGTAGTACTATAAACAGTAAAATAAATATTACAGACCTGCAGATTTTAATTTACATACTCAAATACTTAATATATACAAATACAAATGTAAACTATTTGTGCTATATGAGTTTGTTTACATGTGTACAAAGGGGCTCAACATTTATTTATTGTTTATATCCACCTTTCTGCTTGTTTGCCAAACCTGACATGAGATAACAAAATTCATTATTGGGTTTTTTTTTTCTAAAACACATTAAAAGTAGCTATCTCAGAAAGAAAACTGGATTAAAGTTCCACTTGCAATTTCTTAGACCAACTATGTCTTTTCCTGCAATTGCACAGGTATACCACCACATGATCCTGGAGAAAAAAACATAGCTGCTTTAAGGAGTTGCAAACAGATACCACAATCATGTTCCCATATGCTACAAAATACCTTTCAAATCCAAAGGACTGCACAGCTCTCAGAACATAGGTGGGACTGCAAAAAACAGCTTTTTAAGCGTAATTGTGCCTTGTCTGGATTTTGGAAGAATTTCTTTGGACTTCTATTACTTCTGTTTCAAAACAGTCCTATATAAGGTAACAAATTTATACATGTATCTGTGTATTTGTATGTCATGTATTTTGTAAGTCATTGGATTTTTAGTGAAACAATCAAATCTGAAATCAACAGGTCTTTATTTGACTATGAACTCAGTAACCTGTATAGCTTTTTACTTGGCTAAGAAGGCAGAAGATAATCCCCAAAGTGATTGTATGGTGTGCTTGCTTTTACCAAGTGATAACATACTGGCCTGGGAGAATATTTTATTGATGAGGTCCTGTCCTATAGAGCTCCAATTGCACTGATTAAGGTTCTGGTGCAAGTCAGTTGCGGTCTGTTCCACAAATGATGTCTTAGCACAGTGCCACAGCATATATTTAATGTTCTCATGCATTCAAATTGTCTTCAGCATTTCACAAGTGGATTAGTGAATAAGAATGGCATCCACCTTACAGAAGAGACCATAATTCTTGATCCAAACAACCAATGCTTTTCTCAGACTCTTAATTACTCAACAAGCCTTATAACTGCTATTTCCAACTGGCTGCTTTTAGTACCTCTGTGATCTTGCTGCAAATTTCCCTGGAAGAGCTCACTGAAAACAGCATTATATAAGGATAAAACGTTTTCCAGAGAAAGGAAAGGAAGGCTCCATGGGGCAGAAGTAACAAAGCTGCATTTTCTTCTGCTGTGTCCCCAGAAGCTATGAGTAAACTGAGCATTCAATTTCCAGTACTTATTCTATAACTTTTAAAAACGTGTTGCCTAACAGGGTAAGTATGCATTGTAATAAGTGCATCTTTGACCATAACTATGAAAACTAAGCAAACATCAACTACATATTTATAAAAGCAGTGAAAATGCAATCCTTTTGCAGCTAGAATTTAGCATCATACACTACCTACTTCTCTCACTGTAGTGGCCAAAGGGTTATCGTCTCCGTATTACACAGAAAGGAACAGCAACCAAACACAAAACAAACTTATCCAGCTCCCTACAATATGGTAATATGACCTAGAATACAGCATCTATAATAATGTATTAATAATGTAATTAATTAATGCAATTAATATTGTAATTAATAATGTATTATAATGTTACAATAATGTACAGCATCTACAATAATGCTATTTTATAAGGCTTCCAACAATAAAGTTTAAGCAAAGATTAGCTGTTCAATGCAAAGTTCAATGCACAAACTTCTCACGTTTTGAAACAAATAATTGTACATTGTTATACAATGCGTAAGACCAGCTGTTTACTTGAAAAACATTACAATTGTTATATAAAACTCCATTACTCCTACCAGTTAACAAGCTGATGTCAACACATCCAATTGACAACTGAAGCCTCAGTACACAATATCATAACTGATTGGTACCAATACAGATGCCACAGCTCGCCAGGAAATTACTGACAGAGTTGTTACGTTAGCATTTGGTTATAGTTATTTCTGTGCTTTTGGTCCTCTATGAGAACTGTACTAAATCATATGATAGCAGGCCAGTATTGTAACACATTTTCCATCTATTTTATTATAAAATATAGAAAGTGAACTATGGTCAAAGACATAATTGCAATATAAATTCATCAAGTGTATTAATACCAAACTCTTTCAGGGCCAGAGCATCATTATCTGTGGGTAAAATAGCTATGCTTTAGAATCCAAAATGTACCACTAGAGGGAGTGCTAATCAAAACAATGAACATTTGCACTCAGAAATTAGTACATTTTAAATCTTATTGATTCCTAAAACAGCATAAAGATACATAATTGATAAACAAAGTACAGCTTTGCATCTCAGCACAATGTACTAGCTGTGCAAGAATGACAACACACTTTGAAACTGTTCACATTCTAGATGTATCAAACTGTGTCCATCTGTCAACCAACTTCTAGGGGAATACTTTCTATTTCCTACAACTTCAACAGATGAAAGTTATGTCCCCTTGCACAATGGGATGTTCATTCACACATCCCTGGATGGAAATCAAAGGATGTGTGTGTGTGTATGTGTGTGTATCATTTATAAGCTTTATATGTTATGAAACTTGTTTACATCAGACTTCTGTGCCTCCTTCACCAGAAACTATATAAAGTACACAATATCTCTATCAGACTAGCTGAAATATTTTTCTTGTAATGTAAGTGGGGCTGCGGTAGCATCCAAATCCTTCATTTTTAAAAAACAGTTTTAAATATTTTCAAGATGGCTTATAGGTACTGGAATTTAAAACATCAAAGATTAAGAAATTTTCAAGACTGTTAATAGAATTTCCAGTCAACGAATGAATTACAAAAGCAAATTCTTTATATAATATTGTGCAAATATCTCTAGAGGAATATCCTATTTGGGTTCATTTGTATCAAAATTAAATTCAAAATTCTGCCAATTAAAATTTTACCACTTTAATTACAAAGCAATAAATCAATCATTTATATTATTTTAGAATTCTCTGTTTAACTATCAATACAGATTTCCCTCACTTTATGCAAATTTCCTTCATGCAAATTCACTAGTATATGATTGTTCATTTTTATCCAAATTTTTTCTGTTATGGAATTGATCAGTTTATCCAAGAATTTACTTTATGTGAAAAAAATCACTATTATGAGATTTGTGCCAGCATACTTAATTTGCATCACAAAGGTGTTTAAACATGCCAAGACTTTTTCCCTCCAAACCACTTGAACATTTTCCCGCCAAAACCCCTCTCTCACTCACACATTTATCATCATGTTGTGCATTTGTTTCAGTTGCACATCCTGTCTCCCACTTACTTCCATACCTGCAATAGTTACTACTGTTATTACAGGATCAAAATGGTCATCAATATCTTTTACAATCCGTTACCCAAAAGGAAAATGAAAAGAACCGAACACTAAAAATGAAGTTAAACATACAGGTAGTCCTCACTTAGCCACCCTCATGGGACTGGCAACTCCGCTGCTAAGCGAAACGGTCGCTAAGTGAGAAATCACATGACCACAACTGTGCTTTCCAGCTGGAAAGAGACAAGACTACTCAGTTTCACACCTTCGGCTTGTGTTTGCCTCCTAACCACTCCCGTCCTTTGGAATGCTCAAGTGCTTTCTTACTGGCTTGTAAACACTGAAAGCAATGCAATCGTGCCCCAGCCTGGGGCTGGGAGTCACAGGCATGCTATGCAAAGAGCTCACAGCATTCCCTTGAAATCTCTTCCCCTCCAGTGTCTCCACTCAGGGCGGGGGGGGGGAGAGCATATGATTCCTGTAGGCAATCTCTCCTTTGCCTGACCCTTTCCACTGCCGGCATGATTGCATTGCTTTTGATGTGTAAAAGCCCAAACAGCTTACTCTCTTGAAATCCCTCTCTGCTGTGCGGGGTGGGGGGGAGGAAAAAAACCACAGGTCGGGCACAGGACAACTCATACTGACTGTAATGACAATCACATGACTGAGGGATGCTGCAAAGTTTGTAAATGGTCATAAATTGGTCATAAAATTATTTTTCCAGCACCACTGGTTTTTTTCCCAATAATTTTATTAAAGATTATATAGAACAGATAAAACTAATACAAAAACCTAATATGAAATTAAATTTAAAAAAATAAGCGTGGAGAAAAGAAAAAAAAAAACCCAAAATGAAAATAAAAAGAAGAAACTTCCCCCTTCACTCTCAGCAAGTATATACAACATTAACAGTTTATCACTGTCTCTTAAAATACTACTAAATACATCTTCATTCCATACAGTAGGGCAAAGAAGTATTTAGTCAGCCGCCAATTGTGCAAGTTCTCCCACTTAAAAAGATGAGAGAGGCCTG